CAAGCAGAGTGCGGGACCTTATCCAGAGAAGCAGCAAAGCCAGAGACAGAGGCAGAGATGGGGTCATGGAGAGGGGGAGTGGCTGAAGACTCTAGATTCATGGGAAGAGAGGGACAAAAAGCTGGTGGCCAGGAGGCAGACTCGCAGAATGTGCCCTTTGATGGTGTAAATTATTATATATGCCTGAGTGGTTTTGTTCTTTGCTTTTAAAAGCTAAAGTGAATATAGAGAAATACTGTTAACTGATGGTACATGGAGGGGATTATAATTATTGTAATGAAACAAGGTGTATGATTTGTTGAATGTAAAACTGATAATCTGCCCTGTAAATTTTCACTCAATCCACAATAAAACCTTTAAAAAAAAAAAAGAGTAGAGGAAAAAGCTGGATTCATCTTTGGAATCTGAGAATTCCTTGTTGCCATCACCTCATTAAGTGTTGGAAGTTTTAAAAACGGGGTGCTCAATCAATATTGAATGAATGAATGGTGAAAGCTACTTAAGTGCAAAATGAGTTAGAGAGATTGAAAGTGAAGCAGGATGATGCTTTCGGTCTTAGCAATTGCAGAAGCAGTATAACAAACAGGTTTGGGTATGACAGTCAATTCTGTGAAGAGGTAAAGACATAGAATGAGGATCTACTGAAAAGAAATTGCATGGTGTCATACCTGTTTCTAGCCCAGATTAATTTATTCCTTACAGATGCATGGAAGCAGAAGTTAGTGGTCTGTGGTTTACATAGTAATTATTGAAGGATATTATCAGTGCCCCCCTCCTTCCCTGATACCCACACATCTACTTATCACAATGCCTGAAATTCTACCATTAAAGAGTCATTCTCATCTAACAGTACATCAAGAAACAGAGTGTGACATCAGCAAGATAGTGGCATAAACTCCCATCTGCCCACAGAAATAGCAAAAAGCAAGCAGAAAATGTTCAACCAGTCAAAGGTTTACAACAAATGAGGAATCAACAAAACAAGTGACTTCATTATGGACTATATTATGCCAACTGACCTTAAAAAGAAAAAAAGTGACTTCAAAACAGTAATAAATCATTGACTTTCTACATGCCCATCCCCAACTGCTCTCTGGCTTAGTGAGTCTTAAAGTTACAACAGCCCAGAGAGGCATCCTAGTCCCTGGCTCCAGAGGGAGCAGATCTCATTTGAAAACACTGTGTGTATCTGTTTCAATCTATCTGGGACTTTCAGAAACTCTGGTGCAAGGTGCTCATCTCTAGCCTGTCACAGAATTCACACAAGATGGAAAATAACAGACTTTGCCCCAAAACATTAACAGCCTAGTGTTAATATTAATGTTAACCTTGGGCTAAGGAGTGTGTGTGTGGCATGTAAGGGATGCCCAAGGACAGAGGCATTTAAATTATTTTGGAGAAGAATATTGGAAGTACCATGGACTGCCAGAAGAACAAACAAACCTATGTTGGAAGAAATATAGACAGAATTTTCCTTAGAAACCAGATGGCAAGACTTCATCTCTCATACTTTCGGACATGTTGTTAAGAGGGATCAGTCACTGGAGAAAGACATCATGATTGATAAAGTGAAGGGTTAATGTAAAAGAGAAAGACCTCTAACAAGATGGATTGATACAGTGGCAGCGACAATGGATTCAAACATGCCATAATTGTTTGGATGCTGCAGGACCAGGCAGTGCTTTGTTCTATTATGCATAGAGTCGCTAAGAGTTGGGACTGACGTGATGGTACCTACCAACAACAAAGACTGGGAAGAGAGACCAGAGAGAGCATTCCAGTTTGTTCGAGAGTTGTTGTTGTTAGATGCCACCAAGTTGGTAATGACTCATAGCGACCCTGTGCACAACAGAACGAAACACTGCCAGTCGTGGCCAACCTCACAATCACTGCTACATTTGAACCCATTGCTGCTGCCACTGCACCAATCCATCTCATTTTGGGTCTTCCTCTTTTTCTCTGACCCTTCACTTTCCCATACATGATAACCTTCTCCAGGGACTGGTCTCTCCTGATAATATGTCCAAAGTATGAGAGATGAAATCTGGCCATCCTGGCTTCCAAGGAGCATTCTGGCTGTACTTCTTCCAACACAGACTGGTTTATTCTTTTGGCAGTCCTTAGTACTTTTCAATACTCTCCTCCAACACCATAGCTCAAATGCATCAATTCTTCTGTGGTCTTCTTTATTCACTGTTCAACTTTCACATGCATATGAGGTGATTAAAAATATCATAGCTTGGGTCACGCATATCTTATTCCTCAAACTGACATCTTTGCTCTTAAACACTCTAAAGAAGTCTTGTACAGCACTTTTGCCTTATGAAATATGTTGTTTGATTCCTCAACTGCTTTTTTGAGAGGGAGAGGAATTAAAGCCCAAACCTACTACCATCAAGTTGATTTTAACTCATAGCGATTGTGTATAGAGTTTCAGAAGCTGTAAATCTTTACAAGGGCAAAACCCCTCATCATTCTCCTGAGAAGTGGCTGATGGGTTTAAGCTGTCTATCCTAAGCCACAGAGTGAGCTAAACTCACCTGGGAGGAAATTGTTGTTGTTGTTGCTGTTAAATGCCTTTGAGTCAGCTCATAGTGACCCTGTATAGGAATTCCTAGGAACAGCCGGTGGGGAAATGAGGGAATTCAAATTTATATAGGAGAATTTATAAACATATATGCCCAAGGCAAGATATGTGCTTAGAGAAGACCCTCAAGCTAATCCCTAAACCCAGTGCAAGCCTGGCAATGTAATGAAGTGTCCCAGCCAAGAGCCAATCTGCAAAGACTGAGAGAGGTGTTCCCAGAAAGCAAAGCGCGAGGAAGAGAGGATCTGACTTTCACAGTTACTACATTATAATATTCAAATGTCCAGTTTTCAACACAACAACAAAAATCACAAGACATACAAATAAGCTGAAAAAGATGACCCCGTCAAAAGTATAAAATAGTGACAGAACCCATCTCTGGGGAGGATTACCAGAGAGATTTTAAAACAAGTTCATTAAATATGCTCAGAGCTAAAGGAAAATATGAACAAAGAGTTAAAGGAAGCTAAGAAAATGATGCATGAAACTTTTGGTGAAATCAGAAGCCAAGTTTCCTCCTTTTCCCAATATTAAGAAAAGTGTAAATAGTATTAACGGCTTTACATATACATAAAGCTAACATTATTAACATCATGATAAAGTGTGATCATTTTCATCATTAAATACAAATACTTGAGGGCATTCTTACCTTCTTCCTGTCCAAGTATACTTTTCCTTGAAAAAAGTCATTGATAGCAATTTTTCCTTCCATACGTTTTAAGGCTTTTTTTTCTTCCCTATACTTTTCTTCAGCTTGGGGTGCTTCTCGAATAGCTTCCTCATAAAGATGATGCAGCCGTTCCAGTTGTTTATTGAGCATCTGAATTTCCTGCTGAAGGCCTTCAGTTCTCTACAGGGGGAAAAAAAATGTATATGATGGTATATATTTTCCATTCCAAAGTTGTGTGCCAGTGCTGTTTATATTGATGTTGTACTGACATTAAGTTACTAATAGATGAACAGTGAAGACTTTTAAGATTTACCACACAAAATTTTATATACAAAATTAAGACATTTTAGTCAGTACTTAGAAATCAGATTGTACAATGAATTTTAAACCAGCAAAATGTACATATGTAACTCTACAGGTTCACGAATACACTAAGTCTAATCAATGCCTATTTTCACTTGAGATTTAGGGTGAGTAGTCATGAAATTTTACTAAAATGATTTTTATACAACAAAGAAGCATCTACCTAATGATTTGATAAGCTTGGTCAGTCAATTCAAGCATATATTTGATTTGATAGAATTTACTCTCTTGCAGTGACAGAATTGTTTATCAGTGTTCAGTCATACAATGCTTTCGTCACATAGCACTATTTTTAAGCTAACATTCATTGAGCTTACCATGCAATGTGCTAAGTAAGCACTTACTGTGAATTAATCCATTTAATCCGTACAGACTTTCTGTGAGGTAGGAACTATGCCCCGTCCCTCATTTTATAAATAAAACTCAGGCACAGAAAAGATAAGAACCTGTCCAAGGACTACTAGTGTGGCGCTGTAGGATAAGCACCCGACCACAAGGTCAGTTTGAACCACAAAGTCAGGAGTTCAGATTTATCAGCCACTCCTCAGATACCCTATACAGGGTCGCTGTGGGTTGGAATTGACTGATGGCACTTAATAACAACAACGACAAGAACACACAGCTTGCAAATGGCAGAGCTGGGATTCATACTGGGGCTCCCTGTTTTTAACTACCATACTACTATAATAGTAGACAATCTCTTCTGTTTTTCACTCTAGTACTAAAAATAAATACAAAATTAAAATTCTAAGTTACCGAATTTAATAAATTGGCTACGATTAACATTTATTTAATCTTAAAAAGAAAAAAATCAAAATACCTTTTTGTGAATATACTTACAAACTTCCAAGATAGTTCGTTTGCACCAATTTCCTCAATCCTCTGTTTCACAGCTTCTGCAGTGGCTGGTACTGGAACAACGCTATTGCTCAAAAGAGTAGCCAACTGATCAAGGAAATTCTGATACTGGTATTGCGTAGTTTTAGTTTCCCAGCTGAATGAATATGGAGGTCTGTCTAACTCAGACATTTGTTTTTCCTTATGGGTTAAATCCTGCAGACATTTGTCCCAAATTTTCTGTTCATCCTTTGGTCCCTCGAAGTGAAAACTGTCTCTCTCAAAGTTCTTGGTCAGGATAGTGTCATCCTTATCCTAAATTTGCCAATAGACACGTTAACTTCCCAGGTGAAATTTAATATGGTAACATCTATCTACCTCCTTTTGAAAGATAAACACAGCCTCTACTAGGTGGTGCCCGGCTACTTCTGCTGACTGATCTGAAAGGCATCACAATATGAGGTTGGTTCTAGATAGAATGGGAGGAAAATGTGGAACAAAACTCAAAATCAGAACAAGCAAGCTGTTCACTGGGGAGCCATCAAGGCAAGCAATCAAGTCCCTTCAGGACAAACCCACCTCCAAGACTGAAACTCAAAGGGAACACATGAGCAGGCACATAAGCTTGCTGGTGATCATGTTGGTCTACTTGTGAGTGCAAGTGAGGGAAAGGCAGCAATGAAGATATGGGCTGAGTTCGGCCACATTCCACAGACTCCCATGGACCTTGAAAGAGAGAGAGAAGAGGAAGGGCTGGTTGGTTTGAAGTGTGGTGGGACGTGGGGACACCTGAGCCAATGGACAAGGACATAGCCATGGAGGGCTAGAGCTGAGAGTAAAGCATCCAGCTGATATGAAGTGAGGGGAGATCCACAAGAACACCCAAACTTATAGATAGTACCCCTTTGACCTAGCTTCCATGGCTTGATGATCAGAAGTCGACTAGAGGAAGGTAAAGAAATTTGATACAGGAACAAGTGTAAATTGCTACAATTTGAGGAACTTGACTTATACAACTTGACTTATACTTATGGATGGGATGTAGTAGCTCAAAATACCAACTGAAAGGGAAGGAGTCGTCACACCAAAATCAAACCTATTCTCTCTGTACACAGGGTTGAAAAGGACGGGCAACTTAGAATTTGGCTACCTAAAGTTGGGGGGAGGGGCGGTCTATAAAAGCACAAAGTAGCTGGCTTACAAGTTTTCAAGAGAGAGTTTAGTTTCAGAGTGTGCATGGGAAGGTAGAATCCCCACTGAAGTTTTCATCTTGTCTAGATGGGTCTGGCAAAAGGATATGGGGATAAATTCTTATGATCCAATAGTGAGTAATTGTTATCATGATGAATTGCAATTGTCACAACTGTAAAGGTAGAAGTTGTGTAACAAAAAAGGGGGAAACAATTAATCTTTCATTCCAGGAACAAAGAATCCTAGGACCATCAAGAGGGAAGAGCATGAGCAGAATGTGGGATCCTAACCAGAGAAGTAGCGACACCAGAAATTGAGGCAGAGCTGATGACATGGAGCGAGGGAGCAGCTGAGGACTCTAGACTTATGGAAAGAGAAAGGCTGTGTGCTGGTGACGAGGAGGCAGGCTTACAGAATGTACCTTGTTATATCCTGCATGGGGTTTTTTTTTTGTTGTGGTTTTCTTTTATTTTCTTGATAAAAGAAACAATCTATGATGGTTTTGGGGGGAAGAGAGGAAATGATACATACACTAGAGGGTAGACACAGGTTGACACGGATGATGGAGCAGGCAATGTACAACCAGAGGGAGGTAGGCAGAGGAAAGATGGGGGTGGTGGGAGAATACAGTAGTTAAAGTGAACAGAGGTAAATATTGTTAACTGTTGGTGCATGATGCAACCATGTAATGAAGCAAAGTATATGATTACTTGAATGTAAAACTGATGATCTGCTCTGTAAACCTTCACTCAATTCACAATAAAAAGTTTTTTTAAAAAGTCAAAATCATTAAAAAAAGAAAAGAAAAAAATGGCCAGGCTTACTAGTCTGATAGGGACTGCTAGAATGCCCAAGATGATGACTCTTAGACATCCTTCAAGCCAGGGACTGAACTCTCCCCGTAGTCCAACTTCCAGTCAAGCAATAGGATAAGCACTGAACCCACAAGGTTGGTTTGAACCTTCAGGTCCATGGTTCAAACTCACCAGCCACTCCTTGGAAACTCTAAATGGAGTCACTGTGAGTCTGAACAGACTTAATGGCACTTAACAACAAGAACATAATGTGAACAATAACACTAGAGAGGTGCCTACTTCTTAGAACAATCAACCTTTCAAGATCAAAGGGCAGCATTTGCCCAAAGACAAAGTGCAGAAGGTAAGAAGGGTTAGGAAAGAAGGAGGAATGGAAACAGGTAAACTCAAGACGGAAGTGGCAAGAACGCTGTTTACATTGTGAGAATTGCAATTAATACTATGAAGCAAAATGTTTTTGACTTGCTAATGGAAAACCAGGACTCCTGCTGTGGTGCTGTGGGTTCATGTGCTGAACTGCAAAGTCCGTTTGAACCGCAGGCCAGCAGTTCAAACTCACCAACTGCTCCTCAGAAACCCTATACAGGGTCGCTATGGGTTGGAACCAACTCGACGGCACTTAACAAAAACAGCAACAATGGAAAACCAATTGCTCTGTAAACTTTTACCCAAATCATAATTGAAAAAGAGAGAAAGAGAAAGAGAGAGAGCTAATAAAGGCAGAAGGAATAATAGAATTTTTTAAATCAGCTGTTTTTTAACGTCCTGGTGTGGCGCTGTGTGCTAATGCGCCAGACTGCAAAGCCGTTTGAACTGCAATGTCGGCGGTTCAAGCTCACCAGCTACTCCTCGGAAACCCTATACAGAGTCGCTATGGGTAGGAACCGACCCGACGGCACTTAACAACAACAACAACAACAATAAAATTATTCAGGTAAGGATCATCAGTTAGTGCTCAAGACAAGAAGTGAAAATTTGAGAGGGTATTTTTATAAAGACTTAGTTATGGGTCATAGAACATCATTTAATGATAATATAAAAGCATAAATGAAAGAAATCATGGAGTGGAAGGGAATAAGAACAATAAAAGGAATGTTAAAAGAAACACAATCCTCATTTTATAGAATAAAATGTCACCAATAGTTGAGGTAAAAAGAAAGAAATTGCTAGTATATTAGATGACTTGTAGATGAACTAGAAGTAATATACCTTTATATTGGGAGGATAGGGGAAAATACTTAGAGGATTTGTTTGAATTAGTTGAATCATTATCTGTCATACTAGAATTCAAGGGATAATTTCTAAAATTAATAAATCCAGAAATAGCAGTGTAAATATACTTGCAAAAAAGTACAAAATTGATGTTATTTTATATGAAATGAACAAAATGTTCTTTGCCTGACCCTGCCCTATATTCATGGATAGGCACAAGTTAGTCATTGTCACACCATCTATAGTAGCAAGTAAAACTTAAAATGTTCCAATTCCCCTAGTTATTGAGTAAAATATTATACATCCATATATAATGGGATATTATGCATTTGTTAAAAGTGATGGTGAACATTTAGTTTTACTTTTATACAGTAACCTCCAGGAGCATAATAGTGAAATATGCTATGTTGGAGGAGGGGTCAATAAAAGCATATATGCATTTGCTTATATTGTTAAAAGGATACAATGGAAAGATAAACTAAAAAAAAAAATTAAATTGCTACCCACCGGGAAAGGGAGAAAACACAGGGATTAAAAACAAGAATAAGTATTAGATTCCTCTATATGTACCATGTTTTATAGTTTAGACTTTGGAACCATTTAAATATTTTACACATTTTAAAATGTCAAACCAAAAATAAGCACAAACTGAAAAAACAAATAATCCAAGTGTTATATACTATTGGTGACACACCCACATAAAGAATTCTATAAAGTTAATTTGCATGATTTTAAATGTACATTTTTACTGTACATTCCTGGTATGGTAAGTTCTCACACCAGAAATATACAACAGTATTTTTACTGTACATATAAATTGAAGTTTTCTACATAGACATGTACATTTTATTTCCTAACCCTATATGCTCAAAGTACCTTGGAAACAATGATCTCTTAGAAGCAGTGACATTCAATTAGAAACGAACACTCATGACTCCAAGATCTTGGCTTATAAAAGCATTCCCCACTGAATGTACTAGACCCCCTCAGAGAGGACTAGTTCCAGAGCTGGGGTAAAGAAGATACAAGATGAGCCTAGAACATTTTATCAAAAATAAAAGAAGTGCTCAAAAATAATGATGACCAGTCAAAAGGACAAAGGAATCAGTTTGAAAGGGTTCCTCTTGGAAAACTCCGGGAATGTTATAAAAAGAACAGTAATGGATTATAATGTATTCAATAAAATAGGATTCTATAGATCTCTAATTTTGTTGGGGCTGTTGTTAAGTGTCGTTGAGTCAATTCGGACTCATAGCAATCCTGTATAGGGTTTCTGAGGAGCAATTGGTGGGCTTGAACCACCGACTTTGTGGTTAGTAGTCCAGTGCTTATCCTAGCACCACAGTAGGACTCCCATAGCCATAATAGTTATCTAGAAAAATAAATAAATGGGGAGAAAAGTGAACCTATTTTTTACAATAAAATGCCAATAAAAAAAAAACTCACTGTCATCAAATTGATTCCAATAATAGAGAAAAATGAGAGCATTAGAAAATACAATTTTGTAACCATGATAATAAAAGTTGGTTTAGGCAAGAATCATCAATGGATGCTAAATATATGGGGGAAATTTTGATGAGAAATAATATTTACATACCATCAAAAATTTCTCTCAACAAATTACACATTAATTGCCAAAGAAGAAAGAAATGTGACCCCTTAACTAAGTAATCACACTTAACTTTATCAGCAGGGTTAAAAGACATCATCACAGGACAAATGGAAATGAGGAGAGAGTTGACATGTTGCAGGGATCACATCAATGCCATAGAACAATCTGTGCATGAACTAAGTAAGGGAATGGAGAACTAAATTGCTGTCAAACTTTCACCCAAAGCACAATCAAACGTAAAAAAAAAAAAAAATCATGCACTTCTGGCTACGATACCTTAAGAAGGACAAAACATCATTACGTAGTGTATCATCCAAAAAATGCATAATCTGAATCTAATCATGAGGAAACAAGATCAAACTCACACTAAAGAATATTTATGAAGTGACAACCTCATGAAAGGAAGGAAGAGAAACCAATATAAATAATAAAAACAAGACTGATGAAACTAAATACATATATAAGAAAAAAAAATTTCTTTGGATTTCAAAATATATACAGAATCTAGAAACCCTTTAACCACCAATATCCTATTGAAAAGACAAGAGTTTTTTTGCTCCCACCTATTATCCAAGATGTTCTAGCTTTTTATTCCCTTCTAGTCTTTATGACACCAATTCTTCACATTTCTTTCCCCTCACCTTTCCTTTGTGCTATTGTTGTAAATATGATGGGCACGGGGGATGGGGAGGAAGACAAGGGGATAATGCTTGCAATTCTTCCCCTTAACCTCCTCCCAAAGGAGATTTCTGCCTTTATAAATTCTCCCTAGACTTCTTTCCACCTTCTTGTTATTTTCAACTCTGGGGAGTAAGCAAATAAAGTTCATGGTGTTTTGTCATGGGAAACTGGAGAGCCAGAATTGTGGAGGTAATGAAGGACTTAGGATCACTGAAAGTCTAGAAAAAGGAGACAGACTTAAAGAGAAGCGGAAGACACGGTCAAAGCTGCCTGGACATGGGGTCTGGGAAAGTATTTCAAGAGATATAACAGATACGTAAAAGGAGTGAAAAAAATATAAAGTGTTACTGTGAATTGCTTTAAATAGATAGATAAAGATTGGAATTACTTCCAAATATTTTGAAAGTCCTAGTGTGGCATTGTGGGATAAAGCACTGGGCATCAAGGTCAGTTTGAATCACAAGGTTGGCGGTTCAAACTTACCAGCCACTCCTCGGAAACCCTATACAGGGTCGCTATGAGTTGGAACTGACTCAACGGCACTTAACAGCAAAGTGTGGCACTATAGGATAAGCACTGGATTGATAACCACAAGGTTTGAGGTTCAAATCCACTTCAGAAACCCTAT